CCGACTGCCAACTAATGTCAGACTTCTACCCAGCTACCAACTGACGTCAGACTTCTACCCGACCTCCAATTAATAATGGTTTTTCTGCTTGGCCAACAATTAACGCTAGACTTTTTTACGGCCACCAATTGATGCCGGACCTCCATCGCCTTCCGATTAAGGTCCTTACGACCTCCGTCACCCACTAACTACGATCCTTCTAACCGCGGTCACTAAACAACGGTCCTTCCGACCTCCGTCACCTTCCAACTATAGTCCTTCTGACCACTATCGCCAGACAATGATTCTTTTGACCTTTATCGCTTGACAATGGTCTTTATGACCTCCGTCATCCTGCAACTATGGTCTTTCCAACCAAACAAACACGTCAGTAGTGATTTTTCCTATTTCTGCCATGTAAGACACTCTATATGATTTATATCTATTACATCAAGCTAAGGCCTTCCCCCAAGAAAGGGCCTCATTTATAATCGACTGCAAATAATAGTGGATTCATTGAAACAGGGCTAGACCACATGGTTTTTCCCTTTTTAGGATTTTTCATGTAAAAATCTTAGTGTCTCTTATAAATATTGCACACGCTCTCTCTTAATGATTGTGTGCTGGATCTTCATACAAAACTAAGACTTTAAACTTTATATTTCTCTACCACCGCGAATATTCCAAGTCGCAACAAGGTTAAAATCTTCAATGGGAGTTCCACCAAACTGAGAATTATCTATCATCTAAATGATTGCAGGTTTTAATTCAAAATTATTTTCTTGAATGACGGGTCTATTTATTCTTTGGTAAATTTCGACTACTAAAGGCTTGGGGCGATGGAGTAACGTAAAGAATTGTAATAATGATTTAAGGCTCTGTCAATTCTTAAATTATACTTACATTTTTTATATAAAAACTATAAAATCCCACTTAATATACATAAGTATATATGCCGAATCAAGTAATATATCGATCTCACAATAAAAAATATTTGCTTATAAATACTAGTATTGTATACTTCAACTCTAATAATTATCTTACTCAGTAAAAAAAGTTTTGGTGGAGATTCAATCACTTAATTTAAATTAAAAAATAATTAAATGAAATACTATTTGGATAAATTATTTTGAATTGGTGAAATATAAATATAATATATTTCATAATGATTCTTTTCTATTGATTTTATTCAGAGCATATGTATCACCAACCACTTAGTCAAGCATGAAGAGTCAAATGGCAGATTAAACCTTACAACCTCAATATCACTCTAAACTCTCATTGTCTATCACCCTGTGAAAATATTAGAAGAGTAAGTAAAGCATCCATTATTAAAATCCCCTCATGATAATTCATCTCTATAAATTTAATACATAATAAGCACAATACCTATGCTTGTATTATATCAATCTAATATACATTGTTGTGCCTCCTTTCCTATTAATAGGTTCCATATTACACATGATATTAACTACTCATATGACCACTATGTGTATTAAAAAAAGACCTGATATATTAGAAATATCATGAAATTATTGATGAAGATAAATCATTACTACTCTCTATTCTATTTATACCATCAATCGAAAAACAGAGAATTTAGTCAGATATGAAGAATAAGTGAAGCAAATTTATTTTCATTAATTGCATAAAGAAAAAAAAAGTACAGAAGAAAAGATATCACTGGATGTATTCAATGATCTCTTCTACACTCATCCTTGAACTTACAAAATTACTTTTACAAATACAAGACAAGCACTATAATGGAATGTATCTAGTACTTCTTTGAATTTTCTTAATTGTCACTCAGAAGAAAAAGTTAGAGAAGCACAATAAAAATTGAAATTAAACAAAGTGACCTAATTCCTCTACTAATAGTATAAACAAACTATTCATAAAAAATATAAATAATGGATTCTGGCGCCGTGACACTCGAGAAACTTGCGTTGCGATGCTCATAAAATGAACTAATATAGCATACTCGAAAAATTTTCCCATTTTTTGTATTTTCATGCACAAACACGACTAAAACAATATATTTTTACTAATAAATTAACACATAAAATATAACATTATTTACTTTATCAAATGCCCATGACACACCAAGAGGGAGGGTGAATTTGGGTTTTAAACATTTCTTTAAAACAAAAAATATTTTTGATATTTTTAAGGAAATTAAATCACTCAATGCGGAAGGTAATACATGTAATAACAATCACAATGATGATGTTAATTCAATCGAATCAATCTATTACAAACCACAACATTATCATAATGAATTCTTTATGAAAATACATTAGCAAAAAATTAAAATACAAAAAAATAACAGTACGTAAAAGAAAACTAGAATGAGCACACTTGAATTTTATAGTGGATCGATCAAACTTGACCTACGTCCACTCCCCAAAGTCCACCTCTCTACGTATTGCACTAAAAACTAAATTGACACTCCTTTAACTCCCACAGCTAGACAGAGAACCCTTACAATCTTTTTGCCAACTTGGTGCGACAAAGAACTATAACTAGTTTTTCACACTTTTAGTGAAGGTAGAGAACCTAACACTCCTTTTTTACCCTTCTAGTAAAGGCAAAGAATCTAGCTCGACTCATTTTTCACCCTCCTGGTGATCAAGGCAGAGAACCTCGATGATCTTTGGCCTTGAAGTTCTTTATCCTAGATCCACCCAAGAAACCAAACAAGACACTTGGAGGAAACAAGGTAGAAGCTTGCCCGGAGTAACCGTAAGGAATCCCCTCACACTCCTCCCTCAAACATAACATCTCCTTTCTCCTTCCCAAGGTTAGTGCATGAAAATAAATATTCAATAAAAATAAGAGGAGAAAACATGGTAAACAAATCAATAATATTTGTTATTATTAAAATCACACGATCAGAGTCCAGATTTGCAACAAATTAATTTTTTATATTAAAATAATAATATAACATAAATATAATTAAATAATTTATTCAATTTAAAATATAAAATTCATAAAATTCTTTTGGGGTTTAAAAAATTATAGAAAAATATCCATAAAATATATCACATTCATAATACTTTGGTGAAATCAATTTGTAAAATGGATACTTGATTGTTCCAAACCCCCACTTATACTAATATGTATTAATTTCTTAAGAATTTGCACTAATGTCAAAAATTATAAAACAATTAGTGTAATTAAAATACTATAATATCTATGTTATGGTGAAGTCGATTTGTGATTTGGACTTATAATGACTCATAATTTTTTTTATTATGTCAAAATATGGGCTATTACACATTAATTGTAAGTTTCTACTCATACATATTGATTTGGTCATGTTGTATTCCCCATTCATATTGTTGTTTATGGTTTAATAGGCATGAGTTACTTGGTGTGTTTTATTGTGGATCATCACCATAAGAGTCGAATTATCATCAATAGAGTATTTTTAGTATTTTATGTTTTATAGTAGATTATTATGTATTTAATTTTGATGGTTCTTGTTATTTAAATTCATATTAATGAAATGTAAGTTCAGTTTATCTTTCTTCATTTACTTTGATATATTCTATTATATTACATGTTTATACATTTTCTTCTTTTAGTACAAAACATGCCTTTTTATACATTCATTGCATCCCATATTGTCGGAATGTACTATCTTTTGAACCCGAGATGTGACATGTAAAACACAGGAAGTTTGGTCGGGCTAAATTTGCATGAGGGGCTAGGGTGAGAGATGGTTTGGGCCAACTCAATTTAACTTATCTGGTTCTATTCATTACATTTGTTTTTCCCCACTTTATTCATTGTTGCATTCATAATTTGCCCAAATTAGGTGAATTTCAAATAATTTAGAATGTGAAACTCCCTGAGAAAATAAAGATAAACTTTTAAATATTGAGACATCTTTTGGTGTGATAGTTGAAGTTTCAATAAACTCTATAAAGTTAATTGTCTTCCCAGTGGAGCACTCATAGGATGAGTGATCTCCTGAGAAGTTACAATAAATAGACAAAACATTAAGGTCACTCGGATAAAGCAAATAATATTTCGATAATTAAGAGTTTGATTTCCTACATATGATGTCAAAACCAATACACCAGTTATAAGATAGAAACTTTTAAACATCTAGACGCTTTTTGGTACAACTATAATTTTTTTATTAAAAACTCTAAAATTAAGCATGCTTCTATAGGAGTGCTCTCAGTATGAGTGACCTTCTGCGAAGTTACAACAAGGGGACAAAATCATGAGATCATTGGGCCAAAACGAACGAAATCTTGATAATTTGGAGCTTGGGTTGTTAAATAGAACATCATGTTATTGCAACACCTTGCGATAATGTGACCACTGTGACATAATGTGACACCTCATGATGCCACGAATATTGACCTACAAACCAATGCATCCTCACCAATCCTCACCACTCTTCATGCTAGCTAGAACCTTGAACCAACACAATCTCGTTGAGATCCACTCCTCTCTATGACGACATGACTTCACCAATCTTTATGCCATATGTGCGCGAAACCTAATGGCTATATGCTCCTTAATTTTTTTGAAAAATTATATTCATTAATTCTAATCAAACATACAAAAAAAAAATCCCTTAAATTTATTTTATAATTATTTTATAATCAATCAAATAACTTCAAAATATCATAGATATATTTTATTAAAATTGCATTATATTTAAACCCTAAATTTAAAAATCTTTTAGGGGGATTTACATACATATTACTTTATTTTATACTATTTACACATATAACACTCAAAATATTAATATTACATCTCTACCATTCATAGAACAAATTTAGATGCATGAAATGAAATATTAAAGTTTATAAGATGATATGAATCATAGAAATGAATTATAGGAATGATATATTTGATATTAAAGCTGTATATTAATGATAGTTATATAATATTAATATTTTAAATATTAAATATGTAAATAAAATGAAATAAAATGATATTTATTTAAATTTCCTAATCTTTTAACCACAGCCTCGAAGATAAGCTGATTCCTTTTCTCATTCGCTTTGTACAAACGCGCAACGGCCACAGTTGGATGGTAAGTGGTAACCGGTTTTATAAAGCCCCATCTGTGGTTTTCTGTTACCCCTTCGTCGTCGAGGAGCCGGTGCTTCGATCCTTTTGCACCGGTCGCTCCTTCTCTTCGGAACAGGTCTCTTTTAATCGACCGAGCCCCTGTAACCTACCTTTTTTGATTGAAGAATTCCAAAAATCCTTCCCTAGGAATCTGGCAAGACCTATGGCAAATGGCCTCTGAATCGAATCCGAGTCAGACACCAACTCCTAAAGCCGATCCGTGCAAAACCCTAGGCCGTAAGCTCCTCATCAACCATTCCGAGTTCGTGAGACTTATCATATCATCTCTCTATTCCCTTGGCTACCACAGGGCCGCCTCCTCGCTCGAGCTCGAGTCTGGGATTCCTCTTGACTTTCCGGAGTACAACTCTCTCCTTTTTCACGTCCTTTCTGGTCGATGGAACGACTGCATTCTTACCATCGACTCAATCAGCAACCTTGATGACAGGATCCGGTCAGCCGCTGCTTTCCTCATTTGGCGCGAGCATTTCCTGGAGCTCCTCGGCTCCGGCAACGGTTTGTTGTCGGCTATTGATGTTCTCCGAAAGCGCATCTCTCCGCTGGAGTTGGACGGAAGGAGGTTGCATGGGCTGGCGCGTGCAATGGTTTCGCTGGAAGGCGTGGTGACTATGGAGAACAAAATTCGGAGGAGGATTGGGTTGCTGCTGGATCTGGTGGAAGTGTTGCCTCCTTGGTTTAGGATTCCTTGTGGGAGGCTAGAACAATTGGTGGAGGCGGCAGTGACAAAGCAGATGGAGTCTTGTATGTATCATAATACACCAGAGGAGGCCTCCTTGTACGAGGATCATGAGTGCAGTCTGGAGCATATTCCTTGTAAGTGCAGCCAGGTCAGTTTTATTTGCTTGGCTTCTAATTCGATGGTTGGCGTTGCTGGATTGTTTGGTTGAATTTGGTTTCTAGCTTATATAAGCAAGAGATAATCCATCGTCATGTTCATTTCAATTCATTAAAGATGCGTGTTAATAAAAACTGGGTGATATCAAAATCTCATTATTTACATTTGAGCAAATATAATGTGGATTTGAGAAGTCTTTTAGCATGTATAAATTTGTAATATCCTATTTGTGCTGAATAATTATTGAAATATAATAAAGGACACAAAGTATCTTGTGTCATGAATTAAATGGAGAGAAAATGAAACGATTCTGGTGTACTAATTAATTCTATATATTGACCTATACTTCACTTCAACTTGCCTGAGATATCTCACAATCTTGTGCAGACATTATATGACCATAGAAATGAAGTTTGGTTCGTGCAATTCTCAAATAGTGGGGAGTACCTAGCATCATCGTCGAGTGATTGCACAGCCATCATTTGGAAGGTATGGAACACGCCGCTTATAAGAAGTATGTTTATGCCCATTTTGTTATCTTTTTAATTAAAGCAAGTAGGTTTGGTTTTTGTAATATAATTTGGTGCGAATTTTATGGCGCTCTAGATGTGATGAAAGGTTTTAGACGGGTTGATGTTATTTATGAGAAGCTGTCCAGAAATACTGAGTTTCATCATAGACGCCATACTAAGTTACTAACAAATAGCTTGTATCCTAATAGAATTTTATTTGAAATGGCGGCAAATAGAACTGGATGAATGGTTACTTTATATTGCCACAATATTGTTAGAATGCTATCCTATTTTCAGAAACAACTAGGGATGCTTTCATTCCTTTCAAATGCAGCAAAACATACTGAACTATGACATTAGTTTTCTGAGTTTCTCTAAAATGGAAATTAATTAGCCGGGGTATTTAGTAAAAAAGAGAATGCAAGGGGTCTCTATGGTTCATGGGCTGGACGTTTAGTACTTGTTATGCTTGGGAATTGGATTTCAAATTCAGGTTGACGTAGACATATTGCTTCAAGTGTTTACTGTGCTTAGAGTACATCCATTCAGATATTTGTATATTCTGATCAAGTAAGAGACCGAAACTAATTAGTTTAAATAATGAGTTTTTTATTGAAGGGTAGTATAATTGATTACTATGTCTGGAATTTTTACTTGAAGGAAAATTCTAAATATATCCATATAAATTGATATACAGATTGTTTACATTGATATAAAGGTCATTCAAATCTTCCTTAAGAACATAACTTTGGTATAATTTGATTTGCTAGACTTCTCCTGTATGAGAATTTTGAGTAAAGATCTTAAGTAAATTCTTAATAGGCTGATTGACGAGTCTCACTTGCACTAATAATCAAAAACTGAATCCATTAAAATTTTTATAGATGTTAAAAACATTTATAAAATTTACCTCAAATCAATTTAAAAATTTTTAGAAATGTTTTTTTTTTTTAATTCTAATGAGTTTATTTTTTAATTGTAATTATATTGAGTAAAAGGTCCTAGAATATACACTCAAATCTAGATCCATAAAAAAGAAAAGAAAAAAAAAATCTAGTTGATCCATATATCTTAATGTAAACTCTAATTTTTGAAAAAAATATCTATGAAAAATAGATTGAAAATAATTGAGTTCAAAATAAATTAAAACTCTAAGCACTAAAGCAAGTTATAATATCCCGTATGCAAAATATTGGCATGTAGTTTGTTATCTTCGAATTAGAATGAAAATCTTGAAATATAACACAATTAATAATACTTCGAGTAAATGAGCTTGGTAGAAATTTTTAAAAATTAACTATATGACCTTTCTTTTTATCCATTTTCCGGTGGCACTAACTATTCTAAGAGCCTATTGTGAAAAAGAATGTGTAGGGAAGATGCTTTGCTTTTCTTAAAATGACTTTTCTAATTTCTACTCATCATTATTAAATTTTATCATCATAAATATCATTTTAGTTATATTGAAATTAAAAATATAAGGTGGCATTGTAATTTTTTTTAATTATCTTTATGTTTTAAATGGATGATGTGGGCTATACTTGTCGTTACGCAAGAGCTGAGAGCCGCTAGGGAGAATTTAATAAAGTTTGAGTATGAGGAGGTGAAAGAGAAGATGAGTTCGAGAGATGCATAATTCTAGACAAAAATATTTATTATTCAAGCGAGAAGTACAAGAATAGAGAATATATGAGCTCTGGACCGTGGAGCTTGAGCTTTACAAAAGGAATAATGCGATGCTTTGGAGGCATTTTTTTAGGAATTACAATCTTTTATCCTTCCCCTCTCTCTTTGTATTCTAATATGCAAATTCTTCTTAAGGAGAGATTTAGAGTTTTGTCAATCTTTTTTTTTTTCTTTTTCCCATCTGAAGGAACCTCTCCTAGAAGAAAAAACTCTTTTTCCTTTCCTCCTCCCCCTCTTATATGGTTCGAAAGGAAGCAAGAGTCAAATCCTGGTGTGTAGCTGATAGGAAATATTTGAGTTTGCAAGTAACCCTAAGGTAATACTTGAGTTCGCAAGCAAACCTACCCACAATTAGTGCAAAACAAAGAGGAAAACTGCTGTTCGCAGAGATAAAACAGCCCAAACAATGAGAAATTTGAGAGAAACTTAAGAGAATTTCGTAGGAAATCAAAGCCAACACTTGTATTCCACTAGTAGATGAAAAAGTACTTGCAAGATACAATTTTCCTTCAATTCGAGAGGAAGGAAATACTCTCCACAATCTCCGGCAACGCCAAGAGCCCAAGAACAAACCCTAGATCTCAAATAAGATTCAAATTCAAGACGAGAGCCAAAATCTCTCCATAACTCCTAATTAAAGACAAAGGAAAAATACAAATTTCCTAAAACAACCCCTCATTCAAAAATTTCCCTCCCAAAATGGATTTAAACCCCAAGTGGGGCCCACAGGGGCTCCCCCCCCCAAGCTACTTCCGCCTGGTGTAAACCTGGACCGGTCTAGCCGGTCCCTCTTTGGCCGGCTTTACAGTACTCCCCTCCCAAAAACTCACCTTGTCCTTAAGGTGAAAATTCGGGAACTGTTGCTTCACAATTTCATAGGGCTCCCAGGTGGCTTTGTAGTCGGGGAGATCCTTCCATTTAATCAACACCTCATTGTTTCTCTTTGTATAAAACCTCACCCCTTCCAACTCCATGGGTTCCATGACCACCTTCAAATCCTCTGTCAAAGATGCTGGTAGTTCAGCACTAGCTACTTGTTCCCCTAGCGCTCTCCTCAACTGTGACACATGGAACACCGGGTGTATAGTAGCGGAGGAGGGTAACTTCAGACGATACGCCATTGCTCCAATCTTCCCCAAGACCTCATAGGAACCAAAATACCTTGGTGCCAACTTTTCATTTCTCCTATTAGCTACTGATTTCTGCCTGTAGGGTCTTAGCTTCAAGAACACATTCTCCCCCACTTCATATTGTATGTCTCTCCTGTGTGTATCGGCTTGCTTCTTCATAATTTGTTGTGCCTTTCCTAGATGTTTCTTTAACTCCTCCAACACCTGGTCTCTTTCCTTTAGATACTGCTCAACTGAAAAGATCGGTGTGTTTCCCCTCCCATAATGCACTAAATGTGGGGGGTCTCTTCCATATAGTACCTTGAAAGGGGTCATTTGGGATGCAGAATGATACGAAGTATTATACCAATACTCTGCCCATGGTAACCATTTAGCCCACTTACGCGGTGTTTCCGAAGCAAAACACCTCAAATAGGTCTCCAAACTCCGATTTACCACCTTTGTCTGTGGATGGTAGGCGATACTTCTCTTGAGAACAGTGCCCTGCATTCTGAAGAGTTCATTCCAAAACTGACTAAGGATTACTTTGTCTCTATCTGACATAATTAAACCAAAGAATCTGTGTAATCTCACCACTCTGATAAATGCTGCTGCCACTGAGACCGTGGTGTATGGGTGTTACAGGAGGACGAAATGTGCATACTTACTGAGGCGGTCCACCACTACCAAAATGACTGTGAATCCCTCTGAGCGAGGTAGGTCGTCAATGAAGTCCATGGACACTTCCTCCCAAACTCTGTTTGGAAGTGCCAAGGGTTGAAGTAGCCATCCTGGTGCCATCGCCATATATTTATTTCTTTGGCACACCTCACATCTTGCCACCAGCTCATCAACATCTTTATGCATACCCTTCCAGTAGAGCTCCGCTGCTAGCCTCCTATACGTCTTCTGAACTCCTGAATGGCCTCCAACTGCACTGCCATGGAACTCCTGTAATAAGTGGGGAATATGTATAGAAGTTCGTGGCATCACAAACCTCCCTTTATATAATAGTCTCTCTCCCTCAGCACAGTAATCAGGATGGCTACTCTTGTCTTTCTTCAGGTCTTCCCTGATCTTTCCCAACTCTTTATCTCGCTTGTTTTCTTCCTTGATGGCCCCCCCAGTCAACTATCAGAGGTACTGAAACTGTCTACTCCTAAAACTCCCTTATACACCTGGATAAGGCGTCAATCGCCTTGTTTTCCACCCCTGGTCGATACTGGATCTCAAAATCATAGCCCAACAGTTTTGACAGCCACCTCTGGTGTTCCTCAGTCACCATCCTTTGCTCCAACAAGTATTTCAGGCTCCGCTGATCCGTACGAACAATGAAATGTCTACCCAACAGGTAAGGGCGCCACTTCTGAATGGCTAAGACGATGTCCATCAGTTCTCTCTCGTACACTGACTTCTATCGCGCCCTGGTCGATAGCACCCGGCTGAAATAAGCTATAGGCCTATGATTCTGCATCAACGCTGCTCCCAAGCCGTACCCTTAGGCATCGATCTCCACCATGAATACCTGGCTGAAATCTGGAAGAGCTAGCACTGGGACGGTCGTCATGGCCGTCTTCAATCGTTCAAAAGCCTGGGTTATCGCCTGTCCCCACAGAAAATTGTCCTTCTTCAGTTGCTCCGTCAACGGCTAAGCGATGGAACTGCACCCCTTCACAAACCTCCGG